GATGAGACAACTGTGAGAGAACATTTGAAATTGTCTTGGTTGTCCATGAGACTGGGTAGTTGCTTTTTCACTACCATGATTTTTAACACTACATTCCTTGTCTTTTTCTTTTTTTGTCTTTTTTAAACAGGTGATTTTAAACTCTGCGATACTTCATGCTATGCCATCTGCATGAATTTTGCCAGCATGATATGCTATATTAAAAGAAAGTATACCTAAATAAAAAGGAAGGGGGGGGAAAAAACACTGTGTCTGAAAAAATACTTTATGGCCTAATAACAGAGAACCCAGCTATGACTGAGAGATGCTGCATTAATAGACAATCAATCAATGGGTAATTATTTATGAAACACTTTTGGGAATGGTCTTAAAGATGTAACTGCTTTGAAAGCAGTTGGTGAGTTGTCTTTTTCTAACAAGAAAGGTAAAAAGTATTTATTTTCAAATATATCAGATTGAATTTTGAGTTTTTAAGCAGTGTTGATTTCACAGTGTCTTGGGTTTCAGTTTTGTTTTGTATTTTTTTAACTGGCATTAGATTTATATACATAAAAAAAAACAAACAGAAAAACCCTAGTGCCGTTCATATTGACGTCAGGAAATGTAGATACAGTTCCCTGGTGTTCATGTGACCATTACTAACTGTCAATTTTTTAACTGAATAAATGTAACTCATTTAAAATTTTGCTTTCTGTAGCTTCTAAGGTTCTAGAAGTTTTTTTCTGAGTTGCTTGATGTCAGTTTTATCCAAGTTTCACAGTGAAGCGCTCTTACCCTTCCCACGACTGTACCAAAGGCACTCTCTCTCCCCCACCCACAGAACTGACTTGTGAGAAGTTGCTTGATGTCACTTTTATCTTCTCTCCCCTACCCAGACAAATGACTTGTGAGATTTCAGTAAAAATGCATACTGTATTTTTTCCTTGTCTTCTCTCTGTATCTCTTTATAAACTGATGCCCCACTCTAAAGGCTAGAGACCTCTGATTTGTGTATTTACATTACTGCCTTGGAATTTACTCACACAGCACGTGATGGAGTGTGCACAACTTAAAACTGCTTTCACACCTTCGTGTCTACAGTCCCTGTTCTTGCCAAAGGATGGAGCGGCACTGCAGCAGGTTTGGAGGGGCAGAGCCCTTCCCTCACTTTCTGTCATGGGCAGAACACTCCTCTCTTTCAACTGGTGCCACTCCCCTCCCTGGGTATTTCTTCTGCTGGTGAAATGTCAGAGAATAGTACTTTAAAGGAGCAGAGGTGGTCTGAAATGTTGGCTGTGCCACTGAGCAAGGAAGCAGAGACTTGCATTTAGCTGCAAGCACAACTTGTTGAGAGCATGTAGCTCCTGCCTGGAAGAGCTGTGTGATGATACGTAACCTGTCAGGGTGGTCTGAGCCTCTTTTCACTGATCAAAGTGTAAACATCAGTAATTGCAAATTAATTAAATGTTTGGGGAAAGGAGGGTGGGAAAAAAATGGTGTAATTGAGACTGAATGCCTGGAGAAAATGATAAATACACTTAGCCATTTTTAGTCTGCACTACTTTTTTTTTCTGTAACATCACAGCAGATGCCCAGAGGAAGATACTGATCTTTTGCCTTTAAGATTTAAATAATACTATGCAAGTTGTATATTACTTCTATAGGCCATGAGGCCACTGTGCCCCAGGAGTGAAACAAAATCAGCTGTAGAAGTGTAGCTGTAGTTAAGAACTGTCACCACCCATCAGTGATAAGACTGAGAGCACGTAGCAAGCAAGACTGTCAATTTTCTTAAAATTGAACTTTGAAAATAGCAGTATATTTTTCCATGAACTTATGAAGATGAGTGGTAATTACAACTGCTGCCACACCTGAAGCAATTCTGTTAAATGGCATTTTGCTGCCATGCAAGCTTGAAAACAAAAGCCATGTTTATTTGAGAATGAAGCTGTTAAGTACCTGTAAAGATTAGCAATCCAAAGGTTAGTTGCACTCTGACTCTCAGGCATTAGTGATATAAATTCCAGATTTCAGCTGTTTGAGGGTAACATACAATAATAGCACAAGCCTTACTAGCATTCTTTGTAGCACACTGTCACTGTCAGACCCTTTGGCAGATACTTTCTCCCTTGGGCAGTAATCCCAAAGAAACGCACAGCTATCATACGTGCCCACGTCAATGGGAAACGCTGTGCAAATGTACTCTGCATCTCCCTTAGCAGAAACCTGTAGCTGTAACTCGCCAAGGGTGCTGACTTCAGGGGCCATACGAGGTCATCTCTGGAAAAATGACACATCAGTTCAGCAAGTGCCATTACATCATTATTTCCATGGCTCTGGAAATTAAGGATAACACAGATTATATTAGGATGAAGCAGAGAGCCTCTTGATTCAAGATCTGATTTTGTTTTTTGAATACACGGTGTCTGGTACAAACATGGAAGTACACTGAGCTACCAACTTCTTTCTAGAAACAAAACTGCTCACGTGAGTCTGAGCTGGAAGGGCAGCTGGGGTGAGGGACAGCCTGTATGGCAGCAGGCTGCCTCTTGCAGTGCTCAGAGAACACTGCCCCTCTCTCACTTCCAGGTTTTCTGACTTGGTGTCTGACTCATAGATCTCAAAAGAGCGAGCCCGGGCACCAGCCCAGCGCACACACACCTGCTGCCATTACCAAAGGAAGAGCAGGCTTGCTGGTGACCTGGTCCTCTACTTTGGTTCAACAGGTTTCCTTTGAAAAACTTGGTCCTGGCAGGCTGGAAGATTAGTCTTGACTAATTAGTCTAAGTCTTAGTCTTGACTATTTTGCTTTGCCATATACAGCACAATGAGACAGGCTGTACCTAAGGATTGGGAATAGGCACCTTTGAAAATATCACAAGCTTTTCTCATTGTAAATATTTCAGCTGATGTGAGAATTTCCCATCCCAGTAGAACTGACCATCTCCATTTTACTTCTACTGCTTGGAAGTGAGGAATTGCTGGCAGTATGCACTTGCAAACCTCTGCTGTAATGTGCAGTCAGAGCTGTAAATTGCTGTGTTAGATGCTGCTTTCAAGGTTCCTTTGGCAGCAGCTGAAATCAACTGCATCTCACCCCAGCAGGGAGAGCTGCAGGATGGATGGAAACCTGTGGAGGACGGTTGCCCATTTCCCATATTGCAGACACAATGGTTTGCAGAGCCCTCAGCACTTGAGGCTCTCACTCACTGCATTTCACGTTCTCCAGCTACCAAAGAACAAAAAAGGGCACAGGATTGTGGCAATCAAGGCTTCAGCTGGTTGCCTTATATATAAATGTCCTTACATTTTGCCTATATCCCTAGTGTCCAGGTATTTTAAGACAGAACAGCAGTACACCCCTCGCTGCTGGCAATGTGCTGCAATGACAAGAAATCTGATAAAAATTGCTAAAACCCCAGCTCCCGAACCAGCCAACAGATGAGAGCTGGCCAGGGTGCAAGTCCTTTGAGACACTGTGCAGGGACAAGGCCAAGTCTGTGCTAGAAACAGCTCAGCAGATACAGCACTGCTGAGAATATGGCACTGGGTCCCTCCATCACCTTCAACAGTCTTTCCTTACATCCCAACTCAATCCTTTAAACTGAATTCTTTAAAATTCCAACAGGCAATAAACAACATTAAATCACTGTAACTAGTAGCAACTACTGAAGCACCTTTCAAAGCTTTTACTAAAATTTCATGAGCTACCTAATTTCATGCTAGACTTCCAACAAGTCAATTAAAAAAAAAAAATAAAAATAAATCAAAAAGCTATTCTAACAGCACTATTCAAACTAACCTGCCTAGCTGGTCTTTGAGAGCAGCCAAATACATTGTTATGACTGGGCAAAAGTAGTACTTGGGCATCTGTGTAAGTTTGTAACAGTAAAAAGTAGATGTGGAAGTTGCAGAGATTCGTTCTGCAACTCAATGCTCACCTCTACAGACAACCTCTTGAAGAGCTTCATTCTTCTGTTGATCCTAAGAGCCTAACTTCATATCAAAAATAGCATTAAGCAGCACACACAAACTTTGGGAAGCTTCTACAAATGGAGCAAGGCAAACTGAGTTGGCTTTTTGGATTTTGAGAAAAAAAAATTCCACATCTTTTCCCAATTACATTCCTATTCCTAAAAAGGAAAATTAGGTGGCACTACAGTTACCCTGCCTGGGATGGGCCTGTATAAACATCTAGCGGCACCACTTCTGATTAACACAACAAGCAGTTGTCCCATGAACAGTCAGAACTTCAGGCTCTTCCCTGCAGATCCCTGTTCCTGCCCTTTTAACATGACCTCTGCTATAAATGCATTCCCTGCCAAGAGCTGAAACTCATTGTGGACAGTGTAGGTCCTCAGACTGGGGGAAAAAGTAGTCTACAGGTTTTCGTCACCAAGTTTGGTTCAAAAGAAAACAAACAAACCAAATAAAAAACAAACAAACAAAACCCCATAAAACAACCCAAAACCCCCCAGACCATACAGTTCCTTTGGGCCAAGACATGAACATGTAGACCTGGGGCCTGAAATGGCAGCCTGTTTTCATACCGCCGTGTGTGCCGGGCATTGCACTGCTGTGGTCTTAAGAGTTTGAGAAATACGGCATTAAGGGGTTTTCTGGAAAGAGAATCCTAAGAGAAGGATTAAGGGCTGCTCTGTTTCTGATGTACAAAAGGAATGGTCAAATCTGTAACTCTCCACAGTACTTAAGCTTTGAAAAAAGGCAGATTCATAATATTAGAAACCATGTCTTCTATCTTCCAAGACTGCTACAAGGTAGAGCTTAGTGGGTTATACAGGCTCAGAATCCAAATCACCCTTGGAGAGCAGAGATAAGCATGTATTTCTGCAACCCATGTATCTTCAGTGCTCAACATTTTCAAAGGCTTTATAACACTGGCACTAACCAGCAACCAAAATAAATATAGTAAACTTTCTTCACCTAAAGTACATAAGCTCTAGGTAAACCATTGTGGCAGGAATTATGGCAGCTATCAAAAACAAACTAAATGTAACACAAATGGAGACACTATGTTTTATTAATACTCTTCCAGATTACATTTCTATTCCTAAAAAGAAAAATCAGGAATATATCTAAACCTAAGAATTCCATTAGTGCTCAGTCCTGGGAACAGAACATGGTTAAGTTGGACCACTTCATTACTTTCTGCATACATTAATATTTAATAAAAAAAAAAAATAAAAAAAATTCAAATAATACTAGCTCCAGCCAGATTGCATATTGAACACAGTAGGTTGTTAATCACCCCACATCAATTTCCTGATAAAAATCCCTGATTAAGAAGTTTTCCCTCTAAATTAAGTTTATGACATTCTCTGTTGGTTGGCTCAGCCACTGGATGGCATAGGAACTGCTCCCAGTTCCTTGTTGCTTAGATTATCCAGCCTCAGGTGCACCATGGAACCACCATCTTTGGAGGTGGGAGCCAGCAGTTTTCTCCTTAACACAGTCTGCCTCAAGAGTCCTGAAGAATGAGCTCTTGAAAAAACAGGAAAGGTGGTTCTGTGTGTTGGAGGAAGAGGAATTCTCAGTACTTTGGAGAGTAGATCCTTGAACTCAGCTGAGCCAGGTCCAGCAAGTGAGAAAACCACTCAAATCCCACCATGGGAGCAGGCACCACAGCACAAAAAAACCAGACAATAAGCAGATCTCCACTGCATCCATAAATGCATCAGTCCCATGAATCATCCGCTATAAAAAGTTCAGTGTCTCATCTTCAGCACTTGTTTAACTAGAATTCTGTACATTATATACAAAAATGCACAAGGATAGCTGCTTGATGCTTCCAATCCTTGTTCCTTTACAGCAATGAAAAATTTTAAAAACCAGAGTCTGGACTTATAAATAGTGCAGAAAATGCAAATGCTAAGAAGACAATGCCTCCTATGATTGTCACTGAAAATAAAACACAAGAAATTAGTTATCAAAAAGTAATTCTCTTCCATGACATATTACAAACTTCTTTTTAATGTCTGATTCTCAAATAACCTTACTTAAAAATTCATGCTACAAGCAGTGGATGTTGTTTCTAGATCAGTATTGAGATGCCCATATGCCAACCCACCATCTAACTGCATCTCCAAGAATATATTCTGGCCCACAGAAGGAAGCTTTGTTTCACTCATTACTTGAGCCACTATAAAACTAGGTTAACACCTGCTGTTGAGTACTTGGCTGTATGGCAGAAAATAGGATAAAATATTCTCATGCCAGAGCAAGCCATCAAATAGGACTGACATATAATTAGCATTTTTTGCACATTGTAGGCAACTGTATAGAAAGAAAAGGTATCAAAAACATTAACTGCTTGCAATGGCCACCACCTGCTACAGGGTGGGACAGAATTCTGGGAAAGCACTACTGTATATGTTCCCTGAATCTTTAAACAAAGTAACATGCTAGAAGGATCTTTGTTTTAGTCCAAGGCTACTCCTGTGGCTCAAGATCCACACTGTGCTTAGAGCATACAAAACCATTGTTAGATTAGCATTTTGTCACCAATTTCCTTGGCAAACACAACAGAGTGCATGTTTCACTTTTAGCAGTGAAGTTGTTTTTTTACCACCTCTGCAACTACAGAACAAATATTCTGAATGAACATATATAGGAAACAGCTTCACAGGATTATTCCTGGGAGCAAGAAATCTCACCACATCATAGAACTGACAGTGGAAGCAAGCTACAACCTAAGCTAAGGAAAAACAAACAACCCAGCCTTACTGGTCCTGCCTGTTGCAGTTAGCAGGTACGATAAAAAAAACATTTATGCCACACAGAGTAGCTTTTGTGGCTTTTAAATGGCTGGTGTAAGTCATTGGAATGCATTTCTCTTGCTGACCTGATGGTCTAGATGCAGAATTGCAACAGAATTTCTATTATCCACTGTCAAACAATAAATATTGACCATTTAAATTACTGTATTTCCTTCCTCTGGTCTCCCAAAAGGAGCAGCTAATAGTGAAGCAAAATAAGGTGGGATGTAAGACAGACTCAGAAAAAAATCTCCAAATAATCCAAAACAAACCACCAGTTTTTGTGGGTTTTCCAGAAGTTTTGAGAAGCACTGTTCCCAAGCATGAACAGCACAAACATTACCAGCATTAAATTTTTTTGGTTGGAGTTAGTTTTCACTTACCAGTCCTAACAGAAATTTTTTGTGCTATCATTCTCCCTCCAATAACTGCTAAACCAGTGCATAGGCAATGTCCCACTGTTCCTCCTACTGCCACACCATAGGGGTCCTAAGAGGGGAAAAAAAAAGCACAAAGGGGTAAATCAGCACTGTTGAAAACCCATGAGTCCTACAACAACCTCAGAGCAGTGCTGATTCTCTGGTTGCAGACTGCCAAGCATGTACTGTCTGGTGATTCCTCTGCTCTGCTGTCCAGCACTGTCTTACAGACTAGTGATAGTGAACATCAGCTGGTGAGACAGACTTAAATCCAGCCTAAGATAGGAGCATACAACATTTTTCAGCCAAGCAATATCTTGAAGTTTTTAATTACAGATCCAGAAATTGCTCTGCTGTAGGTAAACCAATAAGCAACCTCTAGAGGGAAGGTGACAGCTGTTGAGAAACACAATATACATCAGCTGGAAAAATACCAACCTATCTATAAAGAGAGAGAGAAGTAAGTCCTTGAACTGCAAACGAAAGCTTTCAGCAGCTACAGCATTCCAAGTTCTTTGCCGTGCTTCACCCACTTGTGCTCCACACTCTGCCCTGCTCTGTCATCCAAAGAGGAAATCATGAAAGACCTGAAGTCCAGAGGATAATAAATTATTTTATGATCTACTGTCAACAACAGCTTTTCACATCACTGAATAACATGCAGCTCCTCAATGTGTGAACAACTGTACTACACAAAGAGGTTTCTCAGGTCTCCTTAGAAATTACAGAGTTAAGGACAGCATATGTCCCCTGCTCATCTCTGTGTGACACTTTTAGTTCCAACAGGAAAAAAAAAGCTGCTGCCATCACCTGAGGAATGCATGAAATATCAAAGAGGCAAACAGCAGAACTATCTAAGAAATTCTTTGGTTTGAAGACAACACAAAGAACCAACACCACAAGATAGTGAGAAGGTGGCGAGCACCAAGCAGTCGGCAGGTTGGAAAGCAAGAAGTGCAGGAAGAAGCAGGGCTGGGCCAGCAGAACAAACAGGCCCCCAGAAACAGGACTCAGAATATATCAGGAATATATCAGGACCAGATATCCAGAGTCCCTGGGTATCCCTACAGCCAGCAATTACCTATACAGCCCTCTCTAGCAGAAGGTGGATCTCATCCCTCCACTCCATCCATCATAATTATTTACTGATTTTGAAAGGCAGCATTAAGTTACCCCCAATTCATTTTTTCTTTGGTAGCACTCTTACGAACATTTCATATTCTGCAAGTACAGCCCACAGGTTTTAACTACAATGCTCAGCACTACACAAACCAGACTAAAGATTCTGACAGACACTTCCTAGGGGGACACTTAGGAAATGCAAACCAGAAGTCAACAATCCCCTGTAAAAGATGGGCTTAAGCAACTTGCCTACCAAATTGGGCAGAGGCTGTAGTGCTTCATTTTTTCCCAAGAACAATGAGAGCATCCTCTCCTGCTGTTAGCTCTAAACATCTTCCCTACACTGTAACAGAGACAAGAGGTTCCTGCAGGTTACAGCCTCCTTCATTACACAGCCCTGATTTATCCCTAGGGAACTTCTGAAAGTGCACCTAAAAGGAGCATGAGTCCTAGGGAAAAAAATGTAAATTACCTCAATGCATGAAAGAGCACAGGCAAGCTACTTATGTTTATTAAAAGCTTGACTACAAGCCTTCATCTTCAAGTATAATACAGTTATATACACTCTAATCACCACAATGAATATAATTTAATTTATAGCATTACTTAGTGCCCAGCAGTTTAGGGTTTATTGCCCTTCTATACACTGTACTATATTAACTCATATTTTAACAAGAGGTATCTGAGGAGGATGGAAGTATCTTTTAAAGTTACCCAGTTAAAACTGAATGACCACAAAGAGAAAAAAAACATCTCTTCTGTAACATCTCTCAACACTGTAACACAACCCAATTGAATACAGCTCCATAATATAAAGCAGATGTCTCCAGAAATGCCAGTGCAGTCCCAACCATGTAACAGTAGTTTTAATACTACAGAGAGCTGCAGTGCATTTACTGCCAGGTCTTGACACAAACTACATAAGGCACATCAAGGCAGCAGGTGTGAATCTGATACCTCCTGCAAGAGCATTTTGTCTCTTACCTCTCAATGGGCAACCCAAAGAAAGCAAAAGAACAGCAAGGGATTCTGAACACTCACCTCTCTGGCAGCCAAGACTATGGTTGTTAACTGGGAACGATCGCCCCATTCTGCTAAAAATGTTAAAGTAAAAGCTTGAACAAAGATTGGCGAAATAAAGTGTAGCCACTTCTTCTGAGGTATAGTGGTGCCTGGCCCAGATTCCACATCTCCTGGTCCATTTAACAGTTTAGTTCTCTGAAGCTGTGGAGGTCAAGGGAAAAAAAAACAAAACAAGAAATAACCATAAAATTAAAAATGTCATCTAAACATTTGAAACACTTAACAATAAAGCTAGACATTTAGTTTCTAGAATGTTATTAACCCACTGCCTGCTGCATTATCAACATAATTATACAGTCATCATTACAAAAAAAAAATAGCTAAGTATATGCACACATGTATGTATGTGGAAATATACACACATACATATAGTTATAATCAGCTCTAATCTCTGATTATTGTCCATTCTTGTACAAAAAGAAATAAAAGTAGAGCCGAGAATAAACTGTTGGTGTCCTCTCTGCTAGTAATGCATTAAAAACAAGTCAAAAACACCCATGCTAAGCAAAAGATCCCTTCTCTCCTAAGAAGCCAGGCTTGCCACAGGACTGGAATCTCCTGCTGAAAGAGCCTCCAGGGGCCACTTCCATCTCATCTACCACACATTTTCTGTGTCAGTTTATCTGTCACACAGCTGAACACCGCAAATATGACAGTGCTGCTCTGCAGCTTCACATCTATAATTCTTCCACCAACTGTAACTAACAGCAATTTTATGACTTACTTCCTCATCTTTTTTTTTAATTTCTGCTTGAACTTCCTCCAGCTCTTCCTGACCCTCATCTGGACTCATTTTCAAGCCTTCCCGAAGCATTCGGATGCCAAAGATTGCAAACAGTGCTGTTGACACATAGTATGTGTACACACGAGGAATAACCGTGGTGGCATAGCCAAACAAAACTGAAAAGAAAACACATGTGTCACTTAAAAAAATAACCATGAGGATCATAATTGTTTTTCCCACATCTAAGAACTGCTTGCTAGCAAAGTCTGCAATCCAAATATCCATTGAAAAATAAATATTCCATCTTTTGTTACTTTTGTATAATTTTATAAGTTTTTGGAAAATAACATGCTAGAATCTCCAACCATTACTGGTCATGCCAGAGACTGAAGTCCACAATGACACAGACAATGCACTCCAGCCAATGTTGAGGTGCTGCTGCTCCTGAGAGCCAGTCCAAACAACATTATCTTTCCATCAAGGTCTGTGCAAGTCCTGCCTTTCTCCATGCACACCGTGAAACTACCATCTGTAATTGTGTTAGGTTAGTCATAGTGTACCCCAGTTAATTCCACTTGCATGCTGGATAGCATCTCTTTCCAATAATTTCATTTATCACATAAAGTTAGAATAAGATTTTCAATGAGGTAAATCTACCAGGCATATCTACAAATCATCCAGCTGGGTGAATCCATGTCTGTCTTGCTTTGCCAAGTGCACATTACTACTCCCTTGTCCCCCATATTACCCACATACACACAGTGTGACTAACTTTGATCTTTATTTCAAAGGCAGATCCCACTTACAGACTGAAAAGCAACCTTCAGAGTGTCTTTTAGAGGTAACTAAAAGACAAAACTAGTTCTTAAATAAGAAATATGTATCCAGGACAAAGTACTTTGTTTTCACAAAGTAAGGCTGTTTAGCATTTTTTTGACAGAAAAAGGCCCATATAAATGGGAAGAAATAAAAAGTCTACACCTTACATTCAAGGTTGCTTGGACCATGCACTCACAAGTGTTTCTGCTACTTTATTCCATATGCAATTAGCTAAAAGGAAGCATATTACCACGTGTGCTTTTTTATGCACATCTTTAGATGAAAAATGCACTCAGAAGTTACTACATGATCTAGAAATAATTCTGCACTGCCACTACCAGAAGTAAGAATGAGACCAGAATTAATCAGCCTCATTACTCATAAACACAGCACATACATATACAAATAGCAGTACTATTTGCAAAGCTAAATAAACTCCTTTAAAAAGACTGAAAATACTGCAGTAAAACAATGCAAGAAAGCTAGACAAAAAAACTATCCTTTTCTTAGCATTTCTTATATAAGCATTGACACAGTGAAATAATCAGAACTGTAAGACAGCTTATTTTGTCAAGCACACTTTGAAAAACTAAGGGATAAAAGCAGAAAAGCTTTTTATGAAAAAGCATTAAGAAAGATTTGAAGAAAAAAATTGTATAGGAAAAGAGAGCCATAATGGGCAGAAGAAATGACACAGAATGCAAGTGGAAACTGCTCTAACTACACCTGCAATAATTGCAGCAATGTACACAGCAACAGCTACACACCCAAAAACCATTCACAGAAACACTTGCCAAGCAGCCTGCACCAGTGAACCGGCTGTCTCCAGTGTGTACAAACCAACCACCACTATTTCAAGTATTTCTGAAATGGGTATGGCTAGAAATGAGCACACAGACAAACTCCGTGCCGCCTCTGAGGTACCTGAAGGCTGCTCCATTTTACATTCACATCTACAGGTTCCTCAAGTGCCACCTGATACCTTACTTCCCGCTCCCTCCCCTCCGTCTTCCACTTACGCAGTTCCCAGCACAAATCCAAACAGCTATGTGTGCAGGAATACAAGTCAGATGAGGAAAATGTGTCATCATACGAAGAATCTTTTGCCTTAGGAGGAAAGACAGAAGCCACTCCCACATTCCCTTTAGGCACACTAATTTTATAGGAGTGGGGAAAAAAAAGTAAACCAGTCCAAAAATCAAAGGAAGTGCTTAGGCTCTCCATCTCATTCCTCTTCCTTAAACTGCAGTCGAAGCCTAGAGGCTTTGTCAGTCCCTGTACTGTCAAAGACTTCATTTGAGAAAAGAGCCTAAATACTTGAGCTGAGATTCCATGCTCCACAGGAAAAGCTTCACACTCCTCAAAACTGAAAACTGCATATACTTACTACCTGCACTCCAAGTAATTATTTTGATAAATACATACCCATCACTTCTTAAGAGATAAACCAAAACGGAGTAAAGCAGAGTGCTAACCTGATAAACACGTCATCAGTCCCAGGGCAAGCATAGCACCAGCCAGTACAGTCAGGCGGTTGTAGCGCATGGCCATGATGGCCGCGATGAAGAAGGTCTTGTCCCCCAGTTCCGACACGATGATGACCGAAATAGCAGCCACAAAGGCATGAATAAAGCCCAAGTTAGTCTTGTCACCTGACTCTTCACTGACAATGTGGACTGGAGCAACTAGCGAGGAGCCTTTCTGTAAGGGGGGAAGAGAAAAACACAAAACAAATCCTGCTTGTCAATTAGGCTTGAATGCTTAGTAGACAGAAATAAAAAACCTTGTATTTCTCCTGTCATACCATCCTGTGACATTTTAAGCAGATAAGACCTCTCATGCTCATTGATGATCATTAACTAGTTCCTAGCTGATGCCCACCTCAAATTGCCAGTTAGGCACTAGGCAAGAGGATCAGATCTTGCTGATTATTAAAACACTACTTCACTGTGCACGCTATTACCAGAGCATGAGAACCACCACAACAACAAAATGTGGTCAGCTCAGGTCTAATACTGCCTTCTTTAAAATCCCTACATATTTTATGACCTTAACCTTGAACAGTTTTCTGATATAAATAAGTGCTTCAAAATGAAACTAGGTGACTATGATACCTTAGGAAGAAAAGAAGCCCATGAAAAAATGGTCAGGATAATTTTCTTCCCTTGCAAAATCTTTGCATCTCAGATGCATTAAATTTTTATGGAGTCACAGAATGGATTGGGTTGAACAGGACCTTAGCAATCATCTAGTTTTAAGACCCCTGCAATGAGCAGGAACATTTTTCACTAGACCAGACTGCTCATCCAGAGCTCCATCCAACCTGGCCTTGAACACTTCCAGGGATGGGGCACTCACAATTTTGCTGGGCAACCAGTACCAGTGCCTAACCCCTCTCACATGAAGGAGAGGGGTTATCTTATTCTTAATATCTAGCCTACATTTATCCTTTTTCCATTTGAGTCAAAGTGAAATTTTGTGCCAGTTTTCATCAGCTTCTTTTGCACTTGCTCTATGTTTGTTGAAAACTTAACTTTAAGACACCCCAGTGGTGAAACCAGACCAACACACTCCAGTTCCCACTCACTCACCAAAGTGTTTACTTCTACGCACAGTAAGGTATCTAAGATCAAAAGCAAGGCCCAAGATCTCTATACCGACGTTCACATCCCTGACCAGGGACGGCTGAGAAAGCTTGCCCCAGCACATCCACTAGCAGAGACAGCCCGCAGCGTGTTTTGACATGACGGCTTCCCAGCACTCCACTTTCAGCTGTGCTCCAAGTTTTCTGGTGTTGGTACTTAGCTCCCACGCTGTGTGTGACACACTCTGCCTTCCCAGAGCTCCTTCATCTTTTGCAGCTCCCTATGTTTTCTGGTTTAGGTCTGTGACACCCGGCGTGCTACACCAAGCCACACGTCAGTAATTTTTCCACCCCTCTGTGTAATCAGTGGAACTAGAATCCCCTCACCGAGAGCACTGTTTAGTAAGTTTTAACGCAAAGGAATTGATATTAATTGTTGAGAGAAAAAAACCTGGCAGCTTTGGAGTAGCAACAAAGCCTGCTTTCAGCTGCTTCTACGGGGGAAGAGAACACTGACCCCTTCCCCATGTCGGACATAGACGTCCCTCTTTTAGCAGAAAAAGAGGAAGGTGCGGTGGCCCTATAGCTCTCCTTTTTTTCTGCTAAAAGCGGGTAATTTC